TGCACATTATAGTCCCTTCATCCATAATAAATCTTGCTGTGTGTGTATCTCTCTCTCTCTCTCTCTCTCTCTCTCTCAATCTCTGTGCCAAATTTCTCAATTTTAAAGAGATACCTAAAGAATTCTATATAGCAATGGTATCAAAAGATGATGTAGCCAAAGTAACAATAACTGTCCTAGAATTCTTTCTTCATATTGAAGTCTAAACCAGATTGTAATAACAATGAATATATGTTTACAATGGTTTATCTTAAAACTCTAAAAGTATACAATATTTGTATAAAGTATGTAGACTTCATAAAGTATAGTTGTATTCTCAGTTGTCTATATTTTCAATGTTATAACTGTGACTATGAGAAATATCCATTCTTTATTCTAGTGCATGGAATAAAGACAGTTAGACCGAGAAAGAGTGTATGTATAAATGTATCTGGATAAACAATATGAAGTGTATCTCAGCTTTAATGCACAATAATATAGTGATATTATAAATATAATTTTATTATTACTATTTTTAGCTCCAAGCGCTCCAAGAGATATAATATTTTCAAAGATACAGTCAACAAATGTGACCTTGAGATGGATAATGCCAGTTACTATTTTGGGCTACTTTCAAAACTACAAGATTACTACACAGTTACAATCCATCCATTGCAATAGTTGGGATTCTTCTGAATGTATTGAATATGAGAAGGAGCAATACTCATATCTTACTGATAATGTTGTAGAAGAAACAGTATATGAACTGAAAAAATTTAGATGGTATCGGTTTAGAGTTTCTGCTTGTACAAATGCTGGTTATGGCAATTCTACACCTTGGATTATCTCACAAACTCTTCCTGGCTGTAAGTAAGACTATAATAATTCTTAATTTTATACGGAACTCAACTTTATAAAACAACTTTATAAAAATTAACAATAGTTACAATTAATTACAAAATTATTATTGTGTGTTTCTTCAAGCATATTCACTTATAGTTTAAATCTCTCTCTCCCCCCTCCCTCCCTCTCCCCACTCTCTCTTTCTGGTGTGTAATAGGAATTGAATGTATAACATATCTGGTCATGAAATTGGAGACTGCAACAATTAAATAGGTTTGCATTTAAGCATTCATTTCCATAATTACTTTTTATATATTTATATTACCTTTTTTGCACAACATAAATATATAATAGATACTCATACTGAATATATAAACATAACGTAGAGTTTGGATTAATATTTTCTTCATTCACCAGTAGCTCTATTTTAACTGGTTTTCAAAGGCTAAACATTTAAAACATTTAATAAATTTAAAACATCTTATTTGCTTAGAATAAATTTGGCATTACTGGAAAATTTGTTCTTTTAAAATAAATGTACCATTTCTAATGGTGCAAAGAAACATATTGATTGTTGCATATTTAGATAGATTTTTTTTACTAGTACAATTGAGCAGCTGTTAAACAGCTGCTAAATTTAATAACTTTTCAAATTATAAAAAATATTTAAAGCAGGGTAAAAATATTTTCTCATTCTCCCTCAAAAGAACATCAATGTTCAACCTTATATTTTATCTTTTTGAATCAAGCATCAAGTCACAACTTCTTCCAATAACAGTTTTGTTTGAACGTTTTGTGTGAAACACAGTGACATGAAATGATTAGGGTACTGAAGTTTGTCAGATCCCTTAGATTATAAAGAGGAAGTAAAGGTTCATGTCCTTCAGTTCAATCAACTCACAGGATTGCTGAAAAGGAAAAATAATTGAATGATAAGTATATCACCAAAACTTCTTGTGAGAGAGTCCAGCATGTAAATTTAACAAACAAGTAAATAAATAAGAGAAAGGTATCATTGAGATACACAAATACTAAAATATTTTGTCTTTACAAGCTCACACTAAATTTGTGGATATAGGTTATTTTAAAGAATAATTGATGACAATTTTAACTTCCCAAATTATATTTTGAATTCATTGTGTATTATATTTTGAATTCATTGTGTATTATATTTTGAATTCATTGTGNGGCTCGACTCCTTATCAGCGAGGCCAGGGTGCATCACAGTCTGGCTTAAAATTTCATTTATTTTTGGTTTTATAAAATCCATCAATTGTCTTTACTTTTTAACGAAAATAAAACAAAAAACATTTCCTCAAAGGTCCAGTTAGATCATCTATTTTCATTCCAATTTATTCAAAAGCACTTTCACCCAAAAATATTTTAAAAAACTATCCCTGTATCCATTTAAACTATCTTACATCCTCTCGTTGTTAGTTTTTTTTTTGCCAAAAGTTCTCAAACTTTAAAACTCCCTTTTTCTATTATAGTCTAAAAAGAACATCGATTCATCAGGTCAATGTTAGAGTTGTCTAATCCTGCTATGCAGAAAACATTTAGCTGTAAATGAATTCCATCCAAAAGTGTTTAAGAAAGTGAAGCTTTTCACTTGACCCGCCCACCCCCCCAACTATTTTACTCATGAGTCAACTGCCAAAACCTCTGTTCTGGACAATTACTCACAAAGAGCAGTTGTCCAGAGTGCAAGCAGGCGATCTTGTGATCTTTCCTTTATCCACAAAGACAAAGTAACCAGAATTTGCTCTGTGGCCACTGATCTCCAGAATTTGCTCTGTGGCCACCTGGAAGCTTCAGTAGTCCTGCCTGCATGTAATTTCCCCCCTTTAAATTCATCTGAACATATTCTATGAGCTTTATATAACACTGGAAATGGAGTCTAATATCAGAAAATTATATATTTCATAATAGATTGATTTTCCATTCATTGATTATTGTATGATACTGAAGAATTTATTACAGCAATAAAATATTATAGTAATTAACTTTTTTTCTTAATCTAAGAACATTTCAGGTTCACACAATGAAGCTAATATATTTGGACTAGAACCATTCTCCGTGTATTCCATCAGTGTTTCTGCATTTACAAAAGTTGGAAATGGCAATCAATTTAGTAACCATGTACAATTCACAACAATGGAATCAGGTTAGATTGCTTAAGATCATGTATTTTAATATGTACTGGTTTTGCAAAAGAAACATTTTAGCTATTCTAACTTTAATCCAAATAAATCTATGGATTTCTCATCTAACTTAAAAACCAAAAGTTTATCCTAATTCCAGGATCTGGTTAAGTATTATAAACCCAATTGGACAGTTATTAAATTATTAATATTACATCAATGCTGATATTCTTCCCCCAATTCCATCCATCTTTCAGTTGCCAATATGCTACTTTACTTAGCTCAAGAAGCATGATATATGTTTCTCCTGTAAAGAGAAATTATAAAAACCATAATTAATGAAGTAGGGATACATCAAAATATATTTCATTCTATTGTATTTTTACCACTGTAGAAAAAGCCAATAGCTTCCTTTGGTAGATTAACTAGTGCCTTTATTATGATATAATATGAAATGCTGAAATGCTTACTTGCATTTCCATATTGAAGTTGTACTTTTCTTTAAGCACCAGGTATTGTCCAGAATACCCAGTGTATTGCAACGAGTTGGCAGTCAATCCTGCTCCAATGGGACCCTCCTTTGAAAACAAATGGAATCATTACAGATTACATCATAACGTTTAGTGAGAACTCAACCATCTCATCATCTCATAATGAAACTGTGTGTATTTTGAGAAACTTGCTATCCAATACAACTTACCAGTTTAAAATAAAAGCTGCAACAGCTGCTGGAGAAGGGAAAGAACAGTTATGCAATACCAGCACATTTCCAGAAACAGGTACCAATTCCCTACATGTCAAGCTATAATTAATAATTTCAGAAATTTCTTTCATAATGTCTTTTCAACTAAATTTTCAGAGCTGAGTGGAACAGCATACTATTGATATGCGTTACAATTTACGTTGTGTTAATTTTGTAAAATATATTAGAAGAGCAACAGTTCCAAGTAATTGTGCTTAGGAATCCATGCAAGCAACTATAACAACAATAAAGTTTTTATTATTGGGTTAACATTCTCTTAGCTGTGTGTTCTCATGCATTTTTTTGTGTTGAGTAGCAGCCACTTGAAATTGGAGACTTGTAATTAGGAATGGAAACAGTTTTAAAGTTATTCTCAGCTTCTTATTTATGGTGGACAGAGTTAGTCACAGACACATAGCCAACTCAGAGTCACTGCCAAGGCATTTATTTCTGACGCTAAGTGAAATCAAATTAGGTTCACCCTCTCATCCCAAAATCTCTGAACAAGAGCCTTCAAAGTATAACTTGATTGTTTATTGTTAGGTTTATTACAACTGCGTATAACTATACATGATCATAAAAAGAATTACATATGATAAGCTATGATACAGTGACATTTTTAAGTGAATGTTACATCTTTTATCATAGTCTACACTATAGGATGATTTGCTTCAATTTATAGAATAAAAATATACAAAGTTGTGAGAATAAATGCTACCAGTGTGTAGAAACTGAATGGAACTATAACGTTTTCTGAAAACTAAAAAAAGAAGTAGAATGTGACACTTGAATTTTTATTTTGTAAAAATGTTTAATATTTAGATTCTGCTGTTTTAAAAAATCTGCAATGGCAGCAAAGGTGAACACAATAATAAAATACAAGTAACCTGATCCGATTATCAAATACTCAACAATGTAAGACAGTGCTCAAATTTTTATTTATGTTTTGCATTTATGGACCATGTATCTCCTTCAAAAAAAGCCTCAGGGTAGTGTACTGTAGAATACCAAAATATAAAATATTATATGAGAATTAAAATGTTAAAGTTAAAATTTAAATTTGAAAAGATTATAAAATTATAAGAGACAAGAAAATATTCGAGGAGGCAATATAACCCTATTAAAAATTGGTTGGTGAAGGCCAAAGGACAGCTCTTATGGACAGCTCCCATGACTGCATACTCCTTTCAAGGAAAAGTATTTTTTTAAATAAATAAATAAATAATCAGGCTACATAAGGGATTTAAATTGTGAGAATTTAAGGGATCTGTTCTGAATTCTAGGGATCTGTTATTTCCTAGACATCAAGGTTCTGATCTTAATATAACTTGCATAGATGAAACATTTTTAGGGAGATTGATAGATTGATATGAATATTACCAATGGCCTGAAACCATTTATAAATCTTCATAGAGAAATGTTCTATATTATCATAGCATCAAGATGGGCTAGATAGTGCCATTTGAAAAAAAATCGGTATTAAATATGTAGAATTTCCATTACATTTAAAACTCTTTACCAATAGTTTTTCAAATGAATCATTCTCAGTTATGAAGTTATTTATTTCTGTGTATTCTCAGTGTATATTAGCATACTTCATGTCCTAGTTTGTGTGAAATAAGCAACAGTTTAGAAGTGTAGGGTCTAAATTAGAATTTGTAGCTTGCATAGAATAATATGAGTGAGCTTGCATAAACATGACTGTAGTTACATTTGTGGCTTACTTGCTATGCTAAAATATGATAAAGCACACATGATAATAAATCAACAATGAGAATTAAAACAAAGATATAAGATGCGAATATTTGTGGATGAATATATGAGGGTTGTTTGAAAAAGTAATTTATGTATTCTTTTATATGCAGATGAAGTCCTATTGAACAGTTGAAAACCCAAATGATTTGCCATACATATAAAATAGATTTTATGATGCAACAAGGACTATGAGTCTTAAAATAAATATATAATACAATAGCAGAGTTGGAAGGGACCTTGAGGTTTTCTAGTCCAATCCCCTGCCTAGGCAGGAAACCCTATACCGTTCCAGACAAATGGCTATCCAACTTCTTCTTAAAGACTTCCAGTATTGGGGCATTCACAACTTCTGGAGGCAAGCTGTTCCACTGTTTAATTGTTCTAACTGTCAGGAAATTTCTCCTCAGTTCTAAGTTGCTTCTCTCC